CAGGCACTAATTGTCAACCAGGTTTTTTATAAAGACAAAATTCAACGCAGAGTAAATAGGATACAAGAAAATGATTTGTTCAACTCAATCAATCATATAATTCATTCCATGTAATTAATTATTTGGTAGCGATTTTATGAATTTTCCTATTTGCCTAATTAGGTAATTTTTATATAAATAAATTACAAAAAAGTTGTGCTGATGCCAACCATAAAAGCGTTGGTCTCACACTTCTGTCTGTCTGTGTGTTTGTTCTGTCTGATTTTGATACCACATATTGAGCTCGTGGCATCCCAGGATGGCAGGACCTTTTAATAGACAAAGATATGGACGAAAGCTGTTGTCAATGGTGGAATCGGACCTGTTGCATGGCTGTTGTATAAACATTCAGAACAAATCATTCCATGGTTGCGAACCTCTGTATAGTTTCACTACATATGTACGCCGATAAATTTCTCTCTGTCTGCATCTTATTTTGTGCAACAAACTGAACATAGTTAAAACATTTCCAACTGAAGTTTGTAGGTGAGTTACAGTATTTAATACTTATTTCATTACTTATATGAGCATTTTCGCGACGCTATTTCCTAGCGCCAAAAATGTCACCAAAGTGACGGTAAGGAAATTTCTATAAGGAAATTTCCTTTGAAGCAAAACTGTTCATGTTACATTGCTATCTTTAGAGAACCAAGAGAGATAAGCCACATAAAATTCACACTGGGCTTTATGCTGTATTTTTATACACATATGGGACTTGAATGTTAATCTTATAACATAGGAACGTACAGGAGTTGAAATTTATACATTCAATACAAGGAATTCGAGCGGATTAACAATATATGGCAAGGTCAATGCATTGCAAAGGAGGAAAAATCCGATCAAAATTTGCCATTGAGTTCCATTCAGAAAATATAGGTCCTGGTCATGTGTTTATAAGTTTATTGGCGATCAAAGACACTAAATAAAGTCTCGATTCTCGATAATGTAATCTATATCGTCAATTGCGGAATCAAAACAAGGCTATAAATGTATATTTGGCACTATAGACAAATTAGCGGCAAATTTTTACAGTGAATAATGTCTCGCTTATTCTATACTTATTCAACAGCACTTAATAATATGACCAAGTGTGAATATCCTACCTCAAAAAATATTCACACAATATTCGAACATATTCTAGGCGAGAATATGGGGTGTGTTTTATTCACAGGTATTCACGTCGGAATACCCCTAATATTCCGAAGATATTCACAGTGAATATGTGTGAATACGTGTGAATACTAACCATATTCGAACTCATATTCACACGTATTCACCTGTGAATACTCGGCTTTTCATGCAGTGTTCGGTTGCAATTTTTATGCGATGAGCAGATGAGCATCTGCTCATGAGCAGTTATGAGCATGTGCTCATCTGCTCATCGCATAAAATTTGTAATCAACGCGTTGCTTGGACCATAAATTAAGACACGGATTAACGCTTGTAACAATATAACTAAGTAGAACAATTTTAAAAATATCTTAAACATTTGTCTGGGCAGGTTTTTTCCATTTCAAAATAGAGGTGGAATATCGGTTGCAAATTTTATGCGATGAGCAGATGAGCACGTTGCTCATAACTGCTCATGAGCAGATGCTCATCTGCTCATCGCATAAAAATTGCAACCGACATTATTTTTTTTTAAATTGCACAATATAAATTATATTATATTGGGCCTGAAAAATTTCAATGAACCGGGTGCCATTTTATGCGATGAGCAGATGAGCACATGCTCATAACTGCTCATGAGCACATGCTCATCTGCTCATAAAACTGCATTACTGCTCGATAACAAGGCATTCACGCCTCCAGTGCTAAGGGAATGAGCTGCCAATTTTGCGGAAGATACTTTAATCGCGGTTACAATCAGCGTAGACACGAACAGGAATACTGTCCATTACGAGAACAAGAAAAAAACATGTCTCAAACAGACTCGGACAGTCAAGAAAGAGATATCCGTGACGATGTCTCAACAACTTCTACTCAGCAGTCTGGAAGTTCGACGGCGACTGACTCAGAATCTGGAGAGGAAATGGATCCCTGGATACCACTAATAGAAGAAGCAAAACAAAGAAGTAACACAGCTTTCGAGGAAATGAAAGAACGCCTCATAAACAGAGGTTTCGATGAGCACTCTGCTAAAGAGAAAGCTTACTTGAATATTATGCCTAGACTCCAGAAAGAATTAGAAAATATCTACTTAGAGCGCCTTTTGTGGATAAGACAACTAAAGAAAGATCCAGCAGTACATAAGAAAATAATGAACACAAAAGATGCGTTTATTCAAAATGATGATTTTGAGCCAGAAGAAGCAATAGAAGCTGCAGTTGATAAGAGAAAGTTTCTTATTAAAAGGCTTTTAAGCGACCACGAGATTGATGATGACGAGGAAAATAAAGACAGTGAAGATTATGACGATGATGATAATTAGACTTTAAATTTAGTCCAATGGTAAAAAAACGTTTTAGAAGAAATTATTATTTATTGCTGTAACTAATTGCAAGACAAATAAATGTTAAAATCGTTAATCCATATCTGAAATTTTCTTCTTTCCGGCCGCATATGTATGTACTTTGACGAGGCATTGGAGAGGGTTTGTGAAGCGACGATCGCAGAAAACTTCATGAAAAGTTTACGAGATATTAAGCCAAGAGTGAACGGCACGCCCACTTTCGAAATTAATTCGCTTTATATTTGAGTCAGCTCACAAATCACGCTCATCGTTCGCAATGGCTTGCAAAAATGACATCGTAGCTGTCGTGAATATGGACGGATTTCGAGTAGGAAGAGAACTCCGCTGCAAGGAGCTCCGTATCATCAAAGTCGGGGATACCTACGGGCAATCCTTCTTTTTTTAATATTGGGCTTCGTTGGTCGGATTTAAGTGAAAAAGACCAAAAGGCGTGCAAATTCGTACAGAAGAAAATCCACAAACTACCGTCTGGGGTGCCGCAGGGCGTCAAAGCATTCCATATTTCGCAGTTGGAGGCAATCGTGGATAATTTCTACAGGAAAAAAAAGAACCCAAACTCTACGATTGCCTACAAAGGCGGAATTATTGAAAGGGATTTTCTAAAAAAACTAAGCATCCCTTCAGTTAATTTGGAATGCTTTGGCTGCCCCAAAGCAGAATAACTGTTTGATCAGCTGGGCTGGTTAGAGACCTGTGGCAGACACTTGGATGCCTGGGCGTACCAACACTGTGCCAAAGTCGAAGTTGAGGCCTTCTCGATGTAGCTGGAGAAGATTTAAAGCAAGGAAAAGAAGAAGAAAAAGAAAAAAAACCGGTTCTTTTTTAAGAACCCCCAAATTTTCGAAAGAACGTAAACGAAATCTCTATGATATTAATAATTTCATATTAATCATACACACATTATTCTCATCATCAATGAACTAAATCGTTACTATTCCTCACACGTACTTTCGTTTGTTTTCACAATGTCACTGTGAAAGAGTCACTTGAGTCAAATTATGCATTAAGGCAAATAGTTTGAAAATTGAGTAAACTTATTTCCCCTGAATCATCTTTTAGCGTGTAATATTTATGAGTAAACTAACCAGGGGATACGTTTCAATGCAACGCTTCTGGCGTAATTAATTATATATTCACATTAATCCCTCTGTATCTGATCAATTCATTATCATCCCAGTGTCGCTAATATTAAAATAGCCACCTCACTAATAGGGTTAGTAAATTGAGTAAAAATATTTTACCCCGAATCCTTTAGTGTATAATATTTGTTAGCAAACTAACCAGGGGAAACGTTTCAATGCAATGCTTTTAGCGTAATTAATTATATTCACATTAATCTCTCTATTGTTTGATCAATTCATTACTATCGCAGTATCGCCAACATTAAAAGGGCTATTAGGTTTGAGTTTCGTTAACAATAGGCGGATCTGGTAACCGAAGATGCTTCATTTACTGTGAAAACGCTACAGCATATTACTTATCATTCGACATTATGACAGCCAACATCAGATTTTTATGGAAGGACGAACTTATACAACGTATCGACATGTGTTTTTCCACAGTTATTAGAATATACATGGTTTGGAGACTAGATGGAAGTACAATGCAACTCATTATCTATGTTATTGTCCAGGTTTATGCAAAAAATGGTTCCTTATCCGTCACATGTCTATTGTATTTTAGCCCAACTAACCAATAGCAATGGCTTGGCTTAGCTCCTCAAACGTGACTTAAACAACATGTTAATTCAGACCTTACTATTGGTTTACTTGTTCAAAATACAATAGACACGTGACGAATAAGGAACAATTTTTTGCATAAATGTTCCCCGACATAGATAATGAGTTGTATTGTACTTTTATGAAGTCTCCAAACCATGTATATTCTATTAACTGTGGTTTTTCCAGCCTTGAAAATAAATTTCTAAATGAACTGACGGAAAAGGCAAAAGAAAAATGGATACCTATCTGGGATGAAAGTCAAACATTTACAAACAAACGGTTTATTCGAATGATTTGGCGCGCTTGCGTTCGTCATGGATATATTGACAAACGTTATGAAATCTTGGATGCTCTTGTCGATAACATGACAATTGGTGTATGGAAATAATATGGCGCTCGTGCATTCGTTATGGGCATATTGACACATGTTACGAACAAATAAAAATTAAAGTATGAACTATCAGAGGGGAAGCATCGCAAAGCATACATAGAAAACGAACTTTTAAAATAAACAGTGCTAAAGTTATGAAAATACTATTATTGTACTAAATACTAAATGTGTACCCTGACAAATAAAATATTTTCCTCGCAAATCTTTACTGTGTACTTAATTAGGGTTTACTAACGTCACACTCTCATCATGCGTGGAGACCACGCATATCTTCGGGAAAATCGGATAGTTTCCGACGTCCCGCGTGGGGTCCACGCGTTGCGTGTTTTTGCCGCTATATGGGGGGGGGGTAACCTACTGGCATCGCAGTATTGGCATGAGACCAGTAGACGTGAACGAAACTAACGAAAGCGCTGTATGGCAAAAACTTTACGAGGAGGAACCCGAAAAACCCATTCGTTTTAAGTTTGATGTTGGCGATCAGGTTCGGATCAGCAAGGCTAGAAGAACATTCAAGAAAGGTTACCTACCAAATTGGACTGAAGAAGTATTTACCGTAACGAAACGCATACCTCGACGACCGCCTGTTTACAGAATTGCTGACTACGATAACGATGAGTTAGACGGAACATTCTACGAACAAGAATTGCAGAAAGTCAACAAGACAGACAGTGATTTTTATAGAGTGGAACAAATACTTAGATCACGCATACGTAATAAACGTAAAGAATACTATGTAAAATGGTTAGGATACCCAGAAAAGTTTAATTCATGGGTGGCAGCAGAAAGTGTAAAAGATATATAAATAAAATATCATTGAACTCAACATCATTTGTGTCATCAGTTTTATCTCACCTTGCCGAGTAATAGTTCTATGAGGTATTTTCCAAATAATACCATTGCAAATTTTCGGGTAAAATTAGCTGAAATGATCGTTCTACCCGGGCAGTGGGAGGTCGCGCTGGTCGGACTTCATTACCCACACACATGGAGTACACTAAGACAGGGAGTGCAACAGTCATTTATTTATCAAGTGGACAAGCATGAAACTGGTTTGTTAAAAGACACACATTTTGCAACTGTCGCAGACCTTGTTAAAGCGATGAATGCATCCATGACTAAGGAAGGTCAGACAAAAATAAAATTCACTTATAATCGTAACACTCGCAAAGTGAGCGTCGATATTAAACAAGGAGCTTGGGTGTGGATGACTGGTGACATAGCTGCGACGTTAGGGTTTGCCGAAAACATCGTGATCAAAAAGAAAACGACAAGCCCTTTTGTAGCTGATATAAATGCCGGATTTTCTTCAATGTATATCTATACGGACATTGTAGATGCGCAGTTTGTAGGCGATGTTAAAGTTCCACTTTTAAGAATTGTTAATATCGAAGGCGAGTATGGAAAGACCGTTCACGCCAGTTTTCGGAATTTACAATACGTTCCTGTGAAAGTGAACTCTTTCGAAACGATTGAAGTCAATATAAAGAACGACCGCAACGAAAATGTCTCATTTGAGTTTGGAAAGTCGATCGTGACACTTCACTTTAGACAAAAGCGATCACAGTACTTTATTTGAAGATGCGTGGAAGACTAGTTGTTGATCAAAAACTACTAAAAGAACATTATTTAAATAATCAACGAGGTGGTAATATTGCGGGATTTCGTGGTGCACGCATGCAGAGGGGTTATGGTATTGGTGGAATTTTCAAGAGCATTGCGAGGTTTGCTATTCCGCTTTTTAAGCAAGGAGCAAAAGCGGCGGGTAAAAGGGCACTACAAGCAGCGACAGAAGTAGGTCAGGATGTACTTCAAGGAAAGAATATTTCAAAGTCAATAAAAGCCCGTGGGAAACAAGCTGTCACTGATGTCGCCGATAAAGCTGTCAAGAATTTGATGACTGGTAGTGGACAGAAAAAAGGTTTAAAAAGATCAGCACAAGCTAAACCCACCATTTCTTCTCGAGCCAAGAAGCAGAAAACATCTCTTGATAACTATAAACCAAAGTGGCATGGCTCAAGTCGTTGAAACAATTCATAAAGATTCGTGTATGTGTTCCAAATCTGAACTTGAATTATTTTCTGTACCACCGACGCAAGTAGAAATGGAAAAAGGATTTTGGGAGGATATTGATCCTGTCACAAGCATAACAGCCTCTGACACAATTGAATTCCTTTGCGCAGCAAACTCCGGAGTTTATATCGATTTAGCAAACAGTTACCTACACGTTAAAGCAAAGATTACAGCGTCAGATGGATGCATGCACTGTTCTCACAAGTAGAAGTGTTCCTAAACAACAAATTGGTAACCCCGTCCAATACAGCCTATCCTTACCGAGCTTATATCGAAACTGTCCTGAACTTTAGCAAGGATGCCAAGGATTCTCACCTCACCTCTGCTTTTTTTTACAAAGATAGTGCGGGAAAAATGGACAATGTAAACCCGCTAGCTCTTCAAGCAGATGTGAATACAGGTCTAAAAGAACGTCATACACATACTCGTGGGAGTAGATCTGTTGCTATGGAAGGCAGACTACATTCGGATCTATTCGCACAAGAGCGCTATATTCTCGGGGCTGTTCCAATAAAGATTAAATTGGTTAGATCACGAAACCCTTTTTGTCTAGTCTCATCTGCTCAGGATCCAAGTTTCAAAGTAGTTATTGAAGAATGTGTATTTCGCGTGCGACGCGTCAACGTATCGCCAAGTGTAATAATAAACCATTCCCAAGCCCTACAGCATACAACGGCCAAATATCCGATCAATCGCGTCGAGTGTAAAGTTGTCTCTGCCCCCCGAGGAAACATGTCGGGAAATCAACCCAACATATTTCAAGGTATTCTACCAAATCGTGTCGTTATTGGTATGGTCGATGCAGATGCGTTCAATGGTAGTTATGCAAAGAATCCGTTCAACTTCAAGAACTACGACATCACAAATTTTGGGCTGAATCTAAACGGTGAAAACCTACCTGGAAAACCATTTCAACTAAAATTTGCGAGTGCAAGAGGAAGTAACTACATTTCAGCATTCCAAACACTGTACGCTGGGACACATAAAATGTTTGAAAATCAGGGCAATGGTATAACTCGTGAAGAATATGCAGACGGTTTTACACTGTTTGTGTTCGATCTCACTCCAGACCTGTGCCTTGGTGATCATGCACAACCAATTAGAAACGGAAATGTCTCGATCGAATGCCAGTTTGGAACGGCCTTGGAGGCGGCTATAAATATTGTGGTGCTTGGTGAATTTCAAAGTCTTATGGAAATTGACGCGAACAGGAACGTACTGTGTGACTTCACTAACTGAACATGAATACGCTGCAGATTTTGAATATATTAAAAAGCGACTCGTTTACAAAGACTGTATTTACAGACGTTTTACCATCAGATCGTTTACCTGGGCTAGTAAGAAGAAGACCAAAAGGTTTCGTAGTCAACACTGATCCGAGTAACAAACCCGGAAGTCATTGGTGTGCCTTGTTTGTCACAGAAGATGGGCGAGGAGAGTTTTGGGACTCGTACGCGAAAGCGCCAGGATTCTACAGTCAACACTTTACTCGGTTTTTTGAGAAACATTGCAGTACATTTAGTTGGAACACGCGGGCTTTGCAAGCACCCAACTCGGACGTGTGTGGACAGTATACGTTATTCTTTGCTTTGTATCGCTGTAGGCATATTCCAATGTCAACCATTGCAAACATGTTTACGGATAGCAAAGATTGGAACGACATGCTTGTACGTGACTTTATACAAAAGTGGTGTGAATAAATACAAATAATGTTAGTTTAAAAATACATTTATTGTAAAAAACATACATATTTACAAAGAAATAAATTATTTTAACCATTTATATGGACTACTGTTTATAACTTTACGCTGTTTTTTTCGTTTTTGCTGCATCGGGGTAAGATGTGGTTCGGGTGAGGGCTGGGGGACATGATCAGAAAGTACTTTAGTTTTATATTCGCGAACAAGTCCTAAGCGATTTTCGTTTCTGATAACGCCTTCGGGTACGTTTAAATGGCCTAACGCCTTCGAAAATAACTCCCAACCTTGTTGATTAAAGTTTTTCCTCTGACGCAATGAATCGTTGACCAAATCGACGATATTTGTTCCGGGTACTGATCTTCCTTTGAACATCATTTGACCTTGTTCATTCCATCCAACGACACTTGTTTGCTTTAAGTTTCTTCACCAACTGACGTGCTCTAGATTTTATTGTAGCTGGAACACTATCCAGTATGTCTGATTCAATCTCGTCATCATCCTTTATCTCTGGCATTTTTTCTTCTTTATCTTCAGTCGCAGAAGGTTCGACATTAGTCACTCTAATAGGTTTACTCATACGTTTGTCGTAAAAATTTAAGTATCGCTGTAGGGACTGGTCGTACAATTTCGCCCTCTCATCAACGGGCATGTCTTGGCGTTGAAGTAGCTCTTGCATCTCGGAGTCAATTTCACCTACTTGTGCAGTCAAAGGTGGTACGAAAGGTTTCTTTCGTTGTTCAGCCATATGTTCGGGTACAAGGACCAATCTTTTGACGTGTTCCATTTATAGAAAGTTAGCCAATTGTCCCAAAACTGAAGTGAGTAGAAGCGGTAGGAAGCCCTCCCCTTTCTGGACAAGACGTGCTCTTCTTTTTGCAATTGGATTTCGTTTGTCAGCTGCAAACTTTATATGTTTGGAGTGTGGTGCAATCTTTTTCGCTGTTTTTGGTTTCAGTTTAATTGTATCAAACCAGACGTTCAAAAGACACTGTCTTATAGCTTCCAGTAGATCGTCTTCGGTTGCTTTTAAAATAGCTTTTCTCAGTTCGGGTTTACACTTGGCTAATACTTTCAGAAGTTCGCAGTTCCTTTTCATGCAAGCAGACATGGTCAAATGATTGTTTTGCAGAAGTCATGCCTTACTTATACTCTTGGTTGGTAAACGTAATGTTTATCTGTTGGAAAGATACCAGATCTAACTCGAATTTCATCGGGACACGCTGGCGTAAGGTCCACAAACAAATAGGAATAAGGCTGTTTCGTTGCCAACTGGTAGGCTTGTTGGAAATATTTCGTGTGACTAGGATATAACTGTTTAGCTAGATGAACAATTTGACTTGCGTCGCGAACGTTTTTCGTTAGACACAAATAACTTGCATTTAAGGATATGGTACGGTGATCTTTGCTGTGATGAAATAGGTTTTGTACAATGTATATGACACTAAGGTTACCATGATGTGATTTTTTCGTAAATAGTTTTGAAATAACTCCGTCCTTTTCACCCATCATGTCGTAATGAATATAAATTACGTGTTTCAGGATTAATACTGTCTAGTATATCATCTGGCAGGCCTTGTATGAATTTTATTCTAGGCATTAAATTTTGTATTTCTCCAAACGTATCTTGGTACTCAGCGTAATAGTACGCAATATTTTCTGGAGGTTTATCTATCATGACGTTGACATAGCTCAAAAGTTTTTTCACAAATGTAGTTTTTCCCGACTTGGTACTTCCAGAAACTAAGAGGCCAAACGGGTGTGTTAACTGTATGGAGTACATGATGAAAATGAGACTTGTAACAACGTGTCAGACGATTTATACCATTCTCCTAATGATTCTATGCAATTCCGTTAAAACTAAATCCAAGTCCAAAGGTGCGCTTTTTGCACGTATAAGATAAGGCTGCCTTTGTGTAGAGGAAAGGTTATGAACACCTGCTAAGTGGTTAGATAATTTCAATAAATTTTTCTTACCACAAATCGGACAGTCTTTACGCGCTCGAGGCATGATGGCAACTGAATACGTCTCGAACTACTTCGCTTATAAGTGTCCCTTCAGGGACTTTTTTTTGTCCCTGGTGTCCCTGGAAGATTAAAAGTGTCCCTTCAGGGACTTTTTTTGTCCCTGGTGTCCCTGGAAGATTAAAAGTGTCCCTTCAGGGACTTTTTTTGTCCCTGGTGTCCCTGGAAGATTAAAAGTGTCCCTTCAGGGACTTTTTTGTCCCTAGTGTCCCTGGAAGATTAAAAGTGTCCCTTCAGGGACTTTTTTTGTCCCTGGTGTCCCTGGAAGATTAAAAGTGTCCCTTCAGGGACTTTTTTGTCCCTGGTGTCCCTGGAAGATTAAAAGTGTCCCTTCAGGGACTTTTTTTGTCCCTGGTGTCCCTGGAAGATTAAAAGTGTCCCTTCAGGGACTTTTTTTGTCCCTGGTGTCCCTGGAAGATTAAAAGTGTCCCTTCAGGGACTTTTTTTGTCCCTGGTGTCCCTGGAAGATTAAAAGTGTCCCTTCAGGGACTTTTTTTTGTCCCTGGTGTCCCGGAAAAGCTAGGATCGGGTTCTGCCCGAGATGCCAACTGAATACGTCTCGAACTACTTCGCTTATAAAAGTGTCCCTCCCTGGACGTGTTTTGTCCCTAAAGCTCTGGATGTGTGAAGGGCTTTTCAAAGAGAAACATACAACATATTATGAAAACATATATTTACAAGAAACGTATAACATATAATACATAAAGACAACTATAGAGTATATGCATTTAGAATCCGTATGGAAGTGTTTTGTATTCATCAATAATAACACGTTTGTCATAAACAATACGATAGTCCTTTTTCATGCGTTTGGTTTCTATGTCCTTTGTTTTGGTGTTGCGAGTAATTTTGAATGGGATATTTACGGATACCCGCCCTGCGACATTACATTTTGCATGAAGGTATACCAAAGCACGAATCACCTCAAAGTTAACGTTTTGCCTAGCGGTGCAATTCAACGTGATACCTCGTATCTTTGTCTCAACTTTGTTCGAATTTGTGCGGTAACAGTAATTCTTTGGTCCACCCGAGATAAATGTGGTGATGTAGTCTCCCTTTAACTCATCCGTCAGTTCGGCGAGGTACGGACCTGTAGGGGGCTCTGGATCACCAGGTTTACTAACAAAGATCACCGAATCAGTGTCGTAATACAACGCTCTTTCTTGAAGTTGATCCAGAACATCGTAGAGTTTGAGGCGAGCGTAAGCTGTGGTGAAAGCAGCAACGACCACGTTCGTTTTAGAGTTTGGCGCAGTGAAATTCTCATTGTTTTCATAGTGAATGGTAATACTTCCTCGGTCCAATTTAATAGGTAGCCTTTCTTGAATGTTCTTCTTGCCTTGCTGATCCGAACCTGATCGCCAACATCAAACTTAAAACGAATGGGTTTTTCGGGTTCTTCCCCGTAAAGTTTTTGCCATACAGCGCTTTCGTTAGTTTCGTTCACGTCTACTGGTCTCATGCCAATACTGCGATGCCTCGAGTGATTACAGGACTTAACCAATTTCTGGAGAACGTCCACGTACTTTAATGTGTTATTTGCTGTAAAGTATTTCCACATTTTCCCCTTAAGTATACGATTGAATCTCTCTACGATTGATGCTTTCGTTTCATTCTGCGTTGTAAAGAACCGAATACCTTGTTTTTTTTAAAATGCTTGAAATTTTCGGTTGGTAAACTCCGTTCGTTCCTTTATCTGAGTAAAAAGTTTCGGGTTTGCGATGCTTTTTAAGAACTTTCGCAAACGCGCTGACCAAATTTTCACCCGTCTTTGTTTTTATCGGTTCAACCCACGCATACTTGCTAAGTACATCTATCACGGTTAAAATGTACTTGTAGTTATTATTGTACTTTGCTAATGAGTCCATAATAACTAAATCTGCCTCCCACTCTTCGTCCATAGCTGCTACTATAACACGATTACGCTTGAAACGAAATCGAACTGGCTTGTGAAGAGTGTACGTATCTTGAGTTCTCAACCATGCTCGTATTTTATTCCGTGATATTTGATACTTGCCATCGTCTCTAACAGCACGATGAAGGGCGTCTACGCCACCAAAACTTGCTGGACTTTCTGGGCTGTAATATAGGCTGCTCAGATATTTTTCGGCCATCAACGTCAGAGGCCTGAATTACAATACTGCCCCCGCAACAGGCGGAAATGCAACGTATTTTGCAAAAGAAATTTCTGATTGAGATTTAAGGGAGCGCTTTACCACAGCAAGTCATCCTCTCGCCACAAAGGTTTCAGCGAAGTGAATGTCCTGAGGTTTACAAACTGATATATAAAGCTAATAACGTACATGAAAATGTTAAAACAATCGCCCATTTTTTGCTTGGTTGTGCTTTTGGAACGCTTATATTCCGGAAAGACGGAATACAATACCTAACATTGCGCCGTATACATTTCTCGCTTTTGCAGTTTAAGTATATGCAAGCTAAATAGGCACAAAGTCGACCAAAGTTTGAAACATTTATTTCTTTGTACAGCTGTTCGTAATCACGACAATCACTTTG